TCACTGTGCAGAGATTAAAGACTCAGTCAGATCTTAAGATATACTGATTTTATAGTTATTGTGTCTGCTGATTATATATTGAGTACAGTTGCTGAGATATCTTTTTGTACTTTTCTATTAGAAATGAGCCAGATTGAGAGAGGTGATACAAGGGCGAGACTTGACATTGATATTCAGATATACTGAAGACAGATCATGAAGATTGCACTTCAGAAGTGACTGTTGATTATATACTTGATATTATTGCTGAGATATCTTTTTGTATTTTTCTGCTGAAGATGGGCCAGATTAGGAAGAATGATACAACAGTGAGACTTGGCATTGATGTTTTGAAACATCAAAGATGAACAGGGTTTTCGCAGAGGTCACTCCTTAGATATCTTCACAACTACAGATCAGGGATCTTCCAAAATTGAGAAGATTGGTGCATATGGCTAGGTCTCTTCACCTTACAATTTGTATGGCACTTTGGCCCGGGGTTGTGGTGTGGTAGGGGAGAACAGGGGATAATCTCACACAGGAGCTTCAAACAACATCCGGTTCACATTTGGCTGGATAACTCCACCACCACACAGGGTATGCGGTCGGCGATGGGGTCAGAATGCTCGTATGATCGAGGGCTTTTTGATGGATCTATCGGCGGGTTCTTATTCGAAAAATCGAGCGAGTTCGTGGTGGTAGACCTGTTGCCACCGGGGTCTTTCTTGACATGAATCTATCAGTATTCTGAGAGAAGATTAATCTTTGATAGATATCAGGCATTTTCAACTATATTCAGCTGCTGTTGAATTCATAATAGTGAATATTCATTCTTGATTATAAGCTTGTTAAGTGCTTGATAATTAATACACATCTGTCACTTCTCACCTGTCTTTGTCATGAATAGAACTGAAAAGCCTCATGCACTTAATGAGAGTTGTATGAGATCATGTTCTAGAAGGTCTGTGATCTGACACTTCTGTTCTTTGAAATGTGTTTATGACAGAGAGTATACATTCTGATTGACTGATTTCACATTCTCTGTGTTAATCTCATGTATAAGTCCTCATTTCAGTGACAATTCTGATAAAAGATCTGTTCAGAAGATCTTTTCATACTTCTTCAGAAGCTTCTTTATACACTTATTCTTCTATATATTCTTTATCTTGATTTTCTTCACTTTCAGATTCTGTATGATATACAGAATACTTTTAGATGAGATCTTATGAATTATTCTCTTTACTTATTAATATATAAGCAGATTTAATTCTTCTATATCAGAGACATGAAATGTTCTTCTCATATCAGTTGATAGAATTATATGAACTGTTTTCTTCTTATCAGTTAACTGTATATAATATATACATTATTGAATCTGCAGATTGAATCTTTGAAATTAATTGAGTTTAAGAATAAGATTATATTTCATGTTCTGCAGCTCTCACACTTAAATATAGCAAGATCATTCTCTGAAGTACAAGGAAACTCTTACTCTTACAGATAATATTAAATATTAATTATCAGATAATTTTATACATCAGAGATTCTTCACTCAGTGAATTTCTTTCAGTCTTCAGATTATATAATTATTAATATATTATATAGATACTTCTATATCTGTTAACACTTTTGCAGTCATCTCTTAATTCTTACTCAAGTGCTCTTTATACATTAACATTTCAGATCTCAAGACATTGAGATGAGTGTCTACTTTATTCTTACTTACATCTCAGTCAGAAGTCTGCTTTCTCTTGATATTCATAGAATTCAGAGAATTATCTAATACAGATATCTCTTTTACTTTGAAGACTTTTCATACAATATCAGTGAGTGTTTCTGAGCTCACTGATTCTGCTAGTTTTTTAACTCTCTTACTTTCTTTGACTGTGTATGCTGTGTGTAATTCTTTACACTATGATTCTGATGTCTGCAGTTAAAGCAAGCTTGATACTCATATTATCAAGATTTTCACTCAGAGAATTTCTTTTTCAGAGAATTCAGTGCTTTAGCAATGACATTCAGATCTAAATTCATTGTGTCTGAGTGTGTAACTTGTGTTGTAGAAGTCTGATTACTCATTCTCTGTTAAGATATACTTGATTGTAGTATTTTCTATTATAATTGACTTACTTATTTCTGTATAATAAGAATGTTATATACTTTCTTTACTGTGTCTGATTATAAGATTAAGCATTTTCATTTCACTTTTAACTTAGATATAAGATCATGAATGAAGATCTGTACATAGAAAGATGTTAAAAGCTCTTCATTCAATATGAGATAGTGTAAGCTGAAGTGTGTAAAGTATAATGTAAGATTACTCACTTATTTACACTCAGTGAAGTGTTTATAATACTTATCTTATATATTCACTTTCTCAAAGTTATACAAAATTCATTTGAAAAACTCATTTTATATTCATAGAAATGAATATTGTTTCAGATCTGTGAGATTTATCTTTTCATCAGTTATTCATAATGACTTTACTTTTTCATATAGAAACACAGCAGATTTTAAGACTTGTTAAAATTCTGTTAACTATCTGTCTGTAAGTTCACATTCAATCTGATAATATAATTATATCTGACTTAGTCAGCTGATTGTAGCATTATTTTTTCAGTTACTATTGAAACTTAATAACTCTGACAGATCTCTTAGCTTGATATATCTTATATTCAGATTCTTATTCTACACAGTAGTCTCTGATAATGTGTACACTTCTGAAGAGATTATAAATGATTGTAATATGAATTTCAGATTCAGTGTGATTATCTATCTGTGTAAACATTTAATCTTCTGCTGCAGGTCTAAGACCTAGTTTTCTCTATTCTTATTGATGATGATAATTATGTCAGTGAAGCTCTTTATTATAAATGCTTGATCTGCAGTGAATATCAATTGTTATTTAACTTCTGTCTCAGTCTGTCACTGTGTATGCAATGCTTTGATCTCATTTAGAATTCTTGTTTATGTACAGAGCTTTAATTCTGATTCAGTGATTTCAACTGCTTTTCTTACTGCTTTAAGTAAACTCTTTGAGAGGTTTCATATATCTTTCAGTTCAGGTAGCAGAGAAGAGTGTTGTTGTTTATATTAACTAGAGAAGATGTTCATTTTAATAATTTCTTATTAATTGTATAATGTCTATTATTATATCACTATATTATTATATTGCTATCTGTTATTATTATATAACTCTGATGATGATTATCTCTCTTTTTATTCTTTTAGATAGAGAGCAAACTTCTTTGAATCTGATTCACTGCTTTTATTCTCTTTCTCACATCTCATCTGTTTGTATATCATACATAGCATTTGTCTGAATGTGAAGTTTTCTCTTAATAAGTGAAGTAGTATCAATCAGATGCTCTTCTGCTCATCACTCTTTATATGCTATCTTTTGAGGTGTTTTTAGAATCACACTGGCATGATAACTATGAATCACTTTGTAGACAGAATTATCATGTTCTGAAGAAGCCTGCACTTCTCACCGGTTTTTAGACATGCTATCAGATGTGATTCAAATGTTGCTTAAGTCAGTGTATAATTACAGATGTACGCCGGCTTCTTATATACTGTACATTAAATTAATTGATGGCCGCTATGGCCCCTTTACATTCGTAAGCAAGTTCGGAAGCGGCCGCGTTATTATCCGACGGTCGTACGTTCTTCCGAATCACAGAATATTGAAGATATATTATAACTTATTATAAGCTATAATGAATTAAATAGTATTGATAAGCAATAGAATATTATTCAGTATTATCTTCAATGAATACTTTAAGATCTGTATTTAGATTCTGAGTGTACTCTTCAGTTATATATAGAACAAGTTCATATACTTCAGTGTATAATATATGAATATAGTGATACTTTATTCATTGTCAGAACTGACTATGAAAAGAGTCTTATTCTTCAATTCTATACAATTCTGACAGAAAAGATAATCATTCAACTGATTTCTCTAAACAAGCTTGATAATCAGTAAATAAGAGATATAGTATGATTTCTCAGTATTAACTCTTATCTGATCAGTGCTGATAATCTTCAGAGATAAGAAGACTTACTCAAATGCATTTAACAGAGTGAGTATACATATATACTGCTCAGTTCAGAGTAAGCTCTTTGTAAGTAATTTCAGTATATTCTTCAAGACTCTACTTTACAAGAAAAGATTGAGCTTGTAACTATTAATAAGTGTTATTTTATCACACAGTGAAGTTAATTCTGTAGTCAGTTTATTAGACTGAAGCATCTGAGATTGCTTCTTTATAAGAATATTGTCTGATTTGACTGTTTCATAACTCTCAGTAGTAAAGCTGAGAATATCATTCTTTAAGAGACTGAATTTCATTCTATTAATATAACCTCATAGCAGACTTAGATTATTCAAACTTTTATTAACTGTTCTGATATCTTTACTAGTAGACTGACCGTGTAACTAGACTGACTGTGTGACTGTGTCTAAGATCAGAATTAAACTTTACAGTTGTCACATTGTCTAAAAGCATTACTTCTGATCATGATTTGTGTTTATCACATTAATCTCAAATCATATTATTTCAAATATTAAAGATTTCAGATTCACTTTTCAAATAAAAATCTAGTCTCAGATAAAGAATATGTTTGAATTCTTAGTCATATTTTCATTCTGATCTCATTATTGAGAATGACATTAAATGAGATTATGAAATCATTTCTCACTTACATAATATTATAACATAGTGCTCATTTGTTGAAAATTCAATAGAAAGTGTTATTAAATATTATTACTTTTCTGAATACAGATTATAATTCATATAATTTTAATTATGAAAAAAACATAAAATACAAAAAAAAAATAAAAAACAAAAAACAAAACAAATATAAGAAAAAATCACAATAAAAAAAAAAGAAAAGAAAAAGAAAAAAATAAAAAATAAAAATAAAAAAAAATCAAGATCACAGAGCTGCAGCAGCTGGAGGTTTTCATAAGCATACAGTTCTCACAAGTCGGAGGTATTCATAGATAAGCTAGATAACTACCTGACAGCCCCGAACAGCGCACCGTCACATTCCTTCTTGAGGATCTCGACGGTTTTATCAGGGAGGGCGGTCCCCGTCTTCTTGAAGGTATTATAGCCCGCCTCGAGGTCGACAAAGGAGAAGTTTAAACCCAGAGACGCAGGTAAGGATTCAAGGAGTTTGCGACCAGCCTGTTATTATAACTTCGCTCAGTATTTTAAATCTTCAATAGATGTTTTTTTTCTTTCTCTCTCTTTTGGAGTTCATATCAAGTCATCGTAGCAAGGATATTGGATCAGCATACCGGGATGACTTCCCTTCCAATCCCGTCACCGGGGATGAGGCCTATATAAATTTGTTAGTAGCAGTAAACATCAATGGAGGGGTGTATAGAAGGCAATTGACCTATTCTCAGTGTTCTGGCAGCCATCATGGTAGAGCTATTGCTGGTGGAAAAGTAAATCTTTCCTCTCTATCTCAAACTCAAACCGAAATCTTGGAAAAACATTCGCAGCTTCCGGTCTCGGAGCCAAGACCGCTTATGTAATGTGACCTCTTAAAATACTCACTTCTCAGAGTCTTTACAATGTTCATTATCAACTGTGTATCTCACAGTGAGAGTAACACAGTTATAATGAGCTATTGTCTTAACATTATCTAATAAATAATCAGTATATATCTGTATAAATGTGAATAATTAGAAAATATACACTTAAAAAGTGTGGCCAGAATGAACTCTGCTGTCACTTGAATAACATCAAGAATAGAATACTGAAATCAATGATTTCTCTCATTAATTTCACAGACAAGGCATGTGAAGATGATCTTGAGAAATATAAAATTTCTTAACTTCTGATAAAAATGAATCTCACAGAGAGACTCTATTTTCATAATATCAGAGACTGAGTGTTATTAAAAAGTATTACTTTCATGCAATGCACATGCACTTACTGCAGTGATTCACTCTCTATGCATGTGACTGAGAGTTGCAGCTTTCTCACATCACACAGCTCTCTCTGAAATGCTGCTGTCAGTTTGCAACTCACACAGTCTCTCAGTTCAGCACACACTACATGTATACAGTTCTGTATACTGAGGCTGTGTTGATCATTATGACCTGGTATGATACTTACTTTTCATGAGCCATGTTTTGTTTGAGAAGAAAGAAGAGAAAGATATAACTGTTGTTTTATTAAAAGAGAGATGAATAATTAGTATTATTGAATTAATTTAATTTATCTACATTTAAAATTTGATTAGTCTATACTCTTCAATTTGAGAATTTCTATGAGTGTTTTAATAGTTTTTATACCAGCTTGAACTTAGTGATGAGTTGAAGAAGAAGAGAAAAGAGAGAAGAAAGAAATGAGAATAACTTATCTTTATAATATAAAAACAGAGAATCACTGTAATTATTCTTTCTAGTAATAAAGATCTGTTTTCTGCATGTATCTCTTATATGATAAATGTATACAAAGAATATCAATAGTGCATGTATTGAATAAAGATAATGTTGCTATATAACACTGTAGCTGTTTCTGTACATCTCTGAAAGCTGTTAATAGTTTCTTTATCTTTTTATGTTTAGTAAGTTAATAATATATTCTGGTGTACTTCTTCTTTTATTATCATCATCATTATTATCATTATTATTATTATTATTATTATTATCATCATTATTATTATCATCATTATTATCATATCATTGCCTGCCTTTATCTCTCTCTCAACACTTATTAAAATCAATCATGTCATTTCTCTTCAAATATTCTGCGGTCCTGTGAATCATCAAGGCGTGTGAGCACTGTCACAGATTGAAGAGAGAGAAGAAGAAGACATTCAAGTATAAGAAGACAGATTGTAAGACATGTTATAATGCCTTGAAGAGGCTCTGTAAGAGAGTAGAATAATAACAATTTTAAATAACACTTCTGATAGATTTAGACTGAACTAAGTATAGAAATAATGTGAATGATGCTGTCTGTGAGAGATTGAAAAAGAATATAGTAAAGAGTCTTATACAGCAGTGATGAGACTAGGAGAAGTTCTGAGAATAATTTAAGACTAAGATGAAGAGAGAGAAAAAGAAGAAGAGTGTTACTGTAAATAAGTAGTAGCAGAAGAAGATTGAGAAGATATTGAAGTAAGAGATAAAGAAGTCAAAACTGATAAGTTTTTTATTAAAAGATAACAATTTTTGATAATACTTCTGTTCTCTAATTGATTAGCAGAAGCTGACAGAGAAGGGAATTGAGGCCTTGTTCAGGTCTTGAATGTGCTCTATGATTCAGAACATTGAGAAGACAGCCCTGCTCTCTGAGCATGCCAATCTGCTTGCTGCTGAGATAGAACCGGAGACAGCAGATCAGGAAATGCGGGATTTTAAGACACAGATTGACCTGGCTGAGAGGAAGCAGTGAGAACTCTTCTCTGAGAAGACAGCAGAGAGAGATTTTGAGATGATTATCATCTCAGATGAGAAGAAGAAGAAGAAGAATAAGAATGAGAAGTGAATTATAAAGAATGATGAGAAGAATGAGAAAGAGAAGAAAGATAATGAGTAGAAAAAGTTTTTTTCTTTTTATATTAATTAGTTATAAGTTCATAACTATTAGTTAATAATTGAAATTAATTTTGAGTTTTCAAAAATTATTGTACAAGTTGTAATCAATTATCAATGTCAGGAATAATATATATATATATATTCAACTATCATGTCACTATAATGTATAAGTATCAATATTTTTTCAACATTGATATTCATAATATTAATATATTTTTAATGATATTATCTGATAATGCAATTTGATAACACTCTCTTTCATAATATTAATATATTTCAAGAAATATGACAGAGATTAATCAAGATTGTTTATTTACTTTTATACATCAATGATATTCAATCTGAGTTAGTACTAAAATTATAACTAAGCTAAAAAAGAAGATTATTTTCTCTTATATTAATTCTTCTTACACACATCAGTGATCAGTTATTAAAAATAAATTATTATCTTTCTTAAATTATTATCATGTCTTCTAAATTCACTTCTTTCACTTCTTTTACTTCTATTGAAGATTCACAAACTCTTCAAGAAATCACTGTGAATCACAAAGTCTATGTTGTTTACAATTCAACACAGAATACTCTCTTTCAATTATAATGAATAATCACTTCATTCTTCACATCTGATTTCAGGTCATGAAATTTATGAAAAACTCAACACAAATACTGAGATGAACTATGAAATAATTATCAACAGGTTGTATTATAGATTACTGAAGAGTCATCTCTCTGCTACAATCACTGTAACTTCATTCAGAAACATTCATCATGAACTGATCATAGCTCTGAAGAAATTTCTCAACATCTGAAGTCATCAGAATGCAGATAATAAAAGAAAAATAATCAGAAAATTACTACTGAGCTGATAAGTTACTCTATCAGATAATGATTTTTGATAATACTAACTTTCTAATTTGAAGAAAATCATGTGAAAATAATCATATATCAGTACTCTGATTTCACAACTCTTATCTGATAACTTCTGTGAATAATTACTTCATATATGTATATCTCTGAATCTTTCTCTTCAATCAATTGAAAACCCCGAATTCTGAACACTTCTTCAAATACTTAATTCAAATCTTCATATTTCACATTGATGCTGTCTTCAGTTCAATCTTGAGATACACTACAAAGTTAATATATAATATCTAGAATCAGAGTTGAAGAATCATTGAAGAGTGTCTCTCACAGTGAATGCATGAACTAGTATAAACAATCTTACATTTATAAGAGTTATATGTTATTATATTGATGAGAACTGAACTTATCAAGAGACATTAATTGAATTTGAATCATTGATCAGTAGTCATACTGAGGATTATATAACAGAGATATTAATAACTGTGATTAAAAATGACTATTGAGATATTAGTTCCAGTCTTCTTACAATTACAACTGACAATGCTGTGAATAACTACACTATAATGAACAGCTTGAAGCAAAAATTGACTTTGCATTTCTGAAATGATAAACAAGGTCATATTCTCTGCATTGCTCATGTGGTTCAACTTATGATACAAACACTGATAAAGAATCTTAACATTGAGATGAAGAATAATGAGATAGCTGGTTCTTGAGATGAGAATGAGATGAAAGTGATTACTCAAGTAACTTTTACATTCACTTTGCAAAAGATAATGTTTTTTGATAACACTTTTTGATATTGCTTTTTAATAATGCTTTTTAATAATGCTACTGTTAATTTTGAATAGATTGACTAATAATTTAAATATCACAGATTTAAAACATTGCTAATATGATTTGTATCTTCTCTAAATAACAATAATGATTTCATGATATTTAACAAATAAACAAATCAGTCATATCACTGAATATGATACAGAATGTTAGAATATAGTAGAGTTCAATATATGAGATAACTGTTCAGACTCTTCAATTGCATCAGACAATTGATCATTGAGTGCAACACTCTGATCAAAAAAAGATTCAGACATTAAAACTTTCTGATATGAAGTGAACTCAGTTGAAATATATGATTGATTTACTGTTTCAGTTTTATAAGATAATAAAGACAGTCTCAATCACTTATACATCAATGCTGCAGTCAGCCTGATGAGTGTATAACAGTTTATTTACTTATCTTGAGAAGCAGTTGAATCACTTAAAAAGAAATTCAGTCTGAGATGATGCTATAGTGCAGGCTATTATTGCTGTAAGAGATAAACTGGCATATTACTACAGCAAAACTGAACAATCTTTTGCAGAGTACTATGCTATAGCAGCTCTACTAGATCTCTTCTGTTAAGTTAACATCTACACTTCTCAAGATTGAATAGAGAAGAAATGAGACTTGTATGTCAAATTAGCCTGAGACTACTACAATGTCAACTATCAGAGATTTGAATGAGCAGATGTTCAAGATGTAAAGACAGTGAAATACAATTCTCTAGTAAGTAACAATCTTTGATACCACTTCATATTCTATAGAACTATAATACTAACTTTGAAACAGAACTTGCATACATTGATTGCAACTGAAAATCAGGCAAAACTACATGCTTGTAAAACTGAATTTAATTGCTATCTTTAAGATGATTCAATGAATTTACACATCAAATCAATTCTAGAGTTATGAAAAATTATTGAGAGTATATATTCAACTGTTGCACTGATGATACATGATATTCTAACAATTTCATTGACAGAGATAAGAATGAAGTGAAAGTTCAACTCAAGTTGAGATATTTATCACTATTATCAGAGACAATTATAAGAAGAAACAATCAAGAAACTCATGATTGTAAAACATGGAATTATCAGACAGTTTAATATCTCTGATCACAGTATATCAGAGAAGTGTAGTTTTCATGAGAAAGTGAAGAATAAACTTACATAAGAATGTATTTAGTTGTTTCATGAGTGTTATTAATAATCATTATCAAATTCTGATTATATAAGCAATCACTGAATGAACTGAATGAGACTGATTTTAATCTTCAGTCTCAGTCTCATTCTGATTTTGAAAGAATGATCATCTTTCACAGTTTATTCTGAGAAATTACTCTCA